CTTACCAGCTGCATGCAGCTCTTCATCTGTATAAGAAATTGGAGCGGTATTGGCTGATATGCCTCCTTAAAAATTGGCTATCGGTATCAGCCAGAAAAATCTATATCAGCGCATCCCTACAAAGGACCACTGCCATCTAGTTCATCGATTCTTAACCATGTTTTTGGTACCAAGGGATCCTTTTAGGGGTGCCACAGGGTGCTAAACAATAATGCCTATAGGTGTGCAAAAATCTGCCCATGATTCACAAGATGATAAATCCAAAGATTTCAATTAGGAACCATAGCATCAAAAATATTCTGACCTGTTGTGATCATTCTGAGTGCTTTGCAACAGAAGAATTGCTCTGAATTTATAAATTCCCTTTGAAGGTTTTTAGACTTCTCATTGGCATGATTTTAAGCATGCTGAAATGTAACAGTATTAATTTGAAGTAATTCAGTCGAGAGGTTTGACTTTCTGAAATTCCCAACATTATTTCTTGGAATAGCTGCTGTTTCCTGCCCTTGTTTACATGCATGAGCTTTTGCCTGGAAACTAATGAGTATGACAAGTGAGTTATTCATTTGCTCAGTATGTTTGCAGCCACCTATTCCTTCTGGCACCTCTAACATTTCCAGCGTCTATATTCTAGACTGATATCAAAATGTCAGTGAAGAGTTTTGCCAACCTGTGAAGCCCATGAAGCAAAACTATTCCTAGAAATTTAAAAACGGAATTTTATTATGGCAGACAGAGCCGAATGTTGGTAATGTGAATTTGACTAAAATTTATACTTCTGGAAGCAAAATGTGTTTACATAATCAGATAAGTGAAGCAGTTGTGTTATTGCTAATTTAACTTTAACTCTTTCTCGTTTAGTAGCAGCAAACAAGTTGTGGTTTGTTAGTGCATAGTCCTTAGTGTTTATTGGTTTTGTGGCCTACAGGCTGGCATGCTAGTAGAATACAGAGGAGGGCTGCTCTCTCAGCTTCCCTGGAAACTTCTGGAGTGGCACAACTAACTACTTGCTGCAGAAGGCAGGGTCGATTTGCATCTAGTAGACTAACTAAATCGGAAAGATGAGCGTTTGTAAGCAGAGGAATTACTTTCTTCAGATGCTGTGAAGGGACTGTAGGAAGAAGATCTCCTAAATAGAAGGTAGTGACTGGAATACAAAGGGTAGGGAAGTGGGGGAGAAAAAAAAAAAGCGTACTGCTCAGAGAGGCCAAGTAGGTAGGAGAGGAAAAAGTAGTTAATCCACTGAGGGGCACAGGGGTTATAAAAACTGATCCAAGTAATGGGATAAGAATCTGTAGTCTTGATTTACTTTAGATTATACTTAAAGTCTGGTCTGTGGGTGATTTTTTTGTTGTTGTACTGCAGTTTCCTATTCAAATTCATTTTTAAAGCTTTGGTGTCTTAAAACAGCCGCTCTGAGGTCTGCGATGGACTGTCCAGGGAAGCTAGCATTCTGCCACTTGCAGTAAAGTTGCTGTTGTTCCCAAAGAAGCATGGCCTTGAATGTTTTAAATTATGTATGTATTAGCACAATCGCTTGGACAGATTTCATTCATTCATAAAATGCGTGTGTTGAGGGAGAAGGGGAGGATTTTTACCTTGTCAGTTTTTCTAGGAATAAAATGAAGGTATTTGTCACGACTTTCACTACAAAGAAAGCAGTTCAGTAGACCTTCAGATAAAAGAATTGTTGCCACTGTGTGTCTTCAGTACCAGACATAAAGAGGAATTGGTAAGCAGCTTTTGCTCTGAGGTCTTTGAAGATATTTGCAGTGGAATTGACTTTGATTAAGAAACCTTTGACACCAGGTTTGAAATTCAGTTGGGGGCTAATATATAAAGGCTAGAGTGTCAGCCTTGAAAAACGTCATTGGTAGTTTGTTGAAATATTTATATCTTCTATTTGTTTTCTTACTAATGTTATAGAGATACAAGATTGCTAAAAGGAAGTATGACTTTCCTAGTACAATGATGTAATCGTATCGTGGTGGCATGGGAGGCTTACATCTGAAATACTTCATGGAAAAAAATGACTCCCCATGCCCAACAAAGGGTGACTGTGCCCAAAAGCTTGCCATTTTTTTTTCTCATCTACTCAGTTGGTCTAATAAAAGATATCACATCTGCTCAAAGAACCTTGCCTGTCATGGAAAAATGGCATAAATATGCTTTATATATTCATATATTTTTAAAGATTATAAAGTTGTGTTCTCTGGGGATTAAGGACAGATGTTGACAGTTCTTTTGCTTAAAGACCCCATGATGGCAAGATGACCTCAGGAATTTAATTCATCCATGCCCTACAGCCAGTCTCCCCTCTGATATGTTCTATGAGTTGGTCTTATAAAATGGTCTACGTTGCTTTTGTTGTTGTGAATGAAGTTAACTGTTCCATTTTTTTTATACAGCTCTCTCATGCTGGGTGAGCTGTATTATGATCAGGTCCAGGATACCGATCTGGGGAGAACAAAGATACCTTCCAGGAACGTGGGCACCTGTCTCCTTCAGTGTTTTTCATGCTTTTAAAAAATAAATCTGGAACTCACAATATAATAGCTCAGTGGCCAGAAATATATCCTAGTTAATTGCACAGCTAAGCCAATGGGATTGATTAATGAAGCCTGGTTTATTTAGTGTGTGTCCTTGGAGAAGAAAAGGAGACCTTTTGTTAAACTTCTTTCAGCATCTGATTGTATTATGGCAAACATCACAGTTGTGTGTTTTTTCTCTTTTTCTCTTGTGTAGCCAGGCTGTCAACAAGGCCTTTTGAGATTTGAGAACAGCATTTTGGAGCAGATGCATCACAATGTGTCTCTTGATGAAGAAAGGTGACATTCTGGCATCTAATGTTTCAGACTGTACACCCAAAAATTAAATCTGTGAGCAGTTATTTCAGGCTTTTGTGAATACTGAGAAGAATCTCTGTGTAGGAGCAGATGATGTTGCTGAATTCTTTGCGTCTCTAGTTTTGTAAGATTAAATTTCCCTGTCTTTTGTTTAGCAGCCATGTGATGGTATGCCAACAAAGGAGACTAGAATGGTTGATGGTCTTGAAAGAGTGTTTTTAAAAACCTCTCAAAACTTGCATTTTGAAACATTTGTAACTTGACCAAATAGGTGAGTTCCAGACTCCATGCAAATTAATACTGTAAAGAATCCACGGCAGAGTGTGTAAAGCTTCATAACAATCCCTTACATTTTTTTTTAGATGTTCTGTGTTTGTGGCTTAGAGATGGATTTCACTGACCTTTGTTACCAAAAGTTGCTTGGGTCATTATTTAAAGGCAGCAAGTACCTGGAAGAATCCTTTCAGTGGCTTCTTGCCACTAAATAACTGTTTCTACCTGCACTTGCTCTATTTGGTTACAAATTTCTTGTCTCCTAGAAGAAGCAGCCATATCTACTGATTAGTGGTGGAAGGAGAACTGGGAATAAAGGTGTAGGAGTTATAGCAGATCAATCATTTAATCATTAGTGGTTAGGGTAGGGAATTTGTTCTTTGAGTGTCCTCGTTTTCCAGTTAGAAGAGTAAGTCTTAAAAAATTCTAAGGTCCTGGGCTGAAAAGTACTATATAGATCAAAATACTATTCAAGATAATACATAGATCAGTATACATATACATCACAATAATATTGCTTCATGTCATATCCGGGACTCTGTGTGTGCAACTAGTATA